ATATATATATATATATATATATATATATATATATATATATATAGGTCAAATGATATAGATCAATGCAATTTATTTATACACATACAGTGCAGTTCAACTTTTTTAAAATCCGTTTTTTAAATCCCTTCCTAAAAAAACCTTTCAGATTTGTAATAGATATTAATCATCAGATTTTCCGACCTCTGTGAATAGTTTTATATAACAGCCACAAATTCACATTTTCAATCTAAAACTACTTCCCCCCGACGAGATTAGCCTATGGCAGAAGCCCACCCCGCTCGTGGGTAGAGCGAGGATCGGATATCTTCTGAATAAGTAAACCCTCCTTTTAAATATTCATGAGTTTCCCGGGCCTACTACCTCCTCCTCAGTGGGAGCGGCGCGTCTCCTACTCCATTTTTGTCAGACGGGTGGAGGAACGCACTCTCGGCGGGGAGACTGTCAGTCCACGCAGCGGATACTTCATACCGAGCAACAAAGGCTTCGAGAGCGATTACTGCAGGCTGTTTTCTTTTGGTTTTCGTTTAGGAAGAGTCTTGACGGTGCTCTCAGGTGTCTGACATGGTAGATTATCACGCGGCGAATAATCAATCCTTATATTCAGCGGGCGGACAGCAGATCTACATGGAGCAGGAGAACGACTGGGACCGGGACCTACTGCTGGACCCGGCCTGGGAGAAACAGCAGCGGAAGGTAAGAGCTTCTGAAAGCCCGGGGGCCGCCGCAGGGGCCTGTGCGATGAGAGATTTGTGCGTTTGACACGTTTTAGTCGTCTTGTTTTCGCTAGTCTGCTTTTATACGCGCCTAGAACAGCAGCGCGCTTCGAATGTTATAATGTTTCGCGGGTTTCGAATGTTACAATAATGTTTCAGTCGCGTGCGTGCGCGTGTGTGAGAGTGAGTGATACATTGTAACGGCTGAACCTGTTTTACTAGAGCGAGTTTCATTCGCTGCTGCTGCCGCCTTTTTCCTTTTAGACTACTATTTACAGCCAGACAACCGGATTTAAAATGGCAGTAGCTAGATATCACAGCACGAGAGCTTAAAATAGCTGCAGAAATGCTGTTTCTGGAGTTTATCTGCTGTTCTGGAGAGGAAAGATAAGCTAAAAAGAATAAAAAATCTACGTATGAGGCGCGTTCCCTTTTTGAATACACTCTGTGGTGTTTCTGTGGAAAACCTGATTGATAGTGAGTGTTTTATGCACATGAATTATGGCAATGAATATTGAGGAATGCTCGGGGCTTGAATGACGTTTTTGGGTGTGTGTCTTTTGGGGCAAAGACAAGCTTGACTGATTTGCATTTTTGGTGTGACAGACGGCTATTGGAGAGAGTTTGAGAAAGGAAGGTCAAAGTTTGATTGGAAAAATAATTAATTATTAACCCACCTGAGCGCACGCACTAATAAATCACACACACACACATATATATATATATATATATATATATAGACACAGACACAGTCACCAGCCTTCAGACCCATAAATGGGACATTTATTTGAGAAAGTCAAGCGGAGGAGAATACTGTCTGAACTCTTGAGCTCTCCTCTCGCTTTTTGTACTCGTTGGTTACACTTGTGAAGCCAGATATCTAGATATCTAGAAAGTAGAGTGGCCTTCTAATATGAATTTCAGCAGCTAAAATGAATTTAAACCACATTGCAGATGTCTATTACTATATGTCATGCATAAAATATCTTTACATCCTGACAGATATCAGTAAGTAGTTGTCACATCTGTGTCTTTGACTGTAAACGGCACAAAAAATCAGGAGAGTGGCCTACACTTTTTTTAGCCAATCAGAAATGCCCACCACCTTCAGCTATCTGATTGGCTGACACATTTTTGGAATGCTGGGTTTTAGAGAGCAGGGGCAAGTTCAAGCTCAAACATTCATTTCGGTTCACCACTATAGATTTACCAACTATGATGACTTTGGGTTCTGAGAACCACGGAAATGAGAAAAGGGTCAATAACAGATAATCAGAGTGTGAAACCTGTTTGATGATAAGGAATTATTTCTGCAATTCTGTTTAGTGCCACTAGTAGTACAGAAATTACATTCATTGGGCCAGAATTACGAACAGCTTGTGCCATCGCAAACCCTCTTTCGGCATCAAAAAACTACTGTCAGGGTTTACTGACAGTGAAAACAGATTTTGCAGCTGGCCTTGTTGCATATGCATTTTTTGGAGTTCCACTTTTGGACACAACATTTATGGGAAGAGTATTTAAACAAATCACGCAACAAGATTACTAAGGTTTGCAGTAGTCAATTCACTGGTATTTGTGCCATACAAAAAACATGTATTAACCCGTTTTGCACTTGACATGGTTGTGATAGTTACATTGGTCCTGGCCCATACTATAATTATGCCACTTATAATAATTAAGCCTTAATCTAAACAATACCTTTTGAAATTAAAGATATTAAAACTTTAGAGGCTAGAAATGGAATGTCAAGTCAAAATGTGATGCAAATTGCACTGTTGGATAGAGTCTTCCATGCACATTCTGTCAATAGTAGTAAGTTAACTATGCATGCTGTGCATAGTATACATACTACATACTTGCAGGACTTAGAATGGTAGACTGCAATACCAAACATAACTAATTAATCAACCCCAACCACAAACCAGGGCTGCGTTCAGCCCTGACAAAACGGTGCAAAACATTTTTTAAACCGAAACGGTGGTGCGTTGAACACCCTGTTCTGATGACGCAAGAGTTGCAACTATGGCAGCTGAGAAGGCCATTCTTTGTGTTCTTTTTGAAGAATTTTCGGAGCCTGATGAAATCGGTATAAATACGTTTAATATTGCAAAATACGCTCGATGTTACAGTGTGCACCGTTTTGCTACAGTTTCTGGGTTGAACGACATGTTTCCTGGAAACGGTGTGCAACGGGGTTTGAGATATGTTTTCTCTTGTTTGGCCCAATCAGCAGCAACATGTGTATAAACCACGCGGTATTAAAGAGACAGCTGGCACAAATGTAATTAACATCCAAATAAATTCACAAGAGCAAGTATATTGTTTGCACGTTTATTTACATTAAAGGCAAAGTAACTTAAATAATAAGAGCACATGTATAGATCTGGAACTTCTTTAAGTCTGTCTAAATATCATCAGAATCAGAATGAGTTTTTATTGCCAGGTATGTTTACACATACGAGGAATTTGTTTTCATGACAGAAGCTCCACAGTGTAACAGAATGACAGTGACCGAACAAAAACACAGATAATAAAAAATAGAAAAATAGAACAAGTAACTAAGGAATAAAAATATACAAATCGACAATTGTATGTACAGGTATATAACAATAGACAGTTGTATGTACAGGTATATTATGTGCAAATTGAAATGTAGAGTGGCACAAGCTGTTCGTAATTCTGGCCCAATGAATGTAATTTCTGTACTACTAGTGGCACTAAACAGAATTGCAGAAATAATTACTGTTATCAAACAGGTTTCACACTCTGATTATCTGTTATTGACCCTTTTCTCATTTGCGTGGTTCTCAGAACCCGAAGTCATCATAGTTGGTAAATCTATAGTGGTGAACCGAAATGAATGAATTATATTAAATGATAATATTTTTTTAATCTTTACAAAAGAGGAAGAAATATTGAGAGATTAAGATGTTGGTCAGAAGAGAGAAATATATATATTCATTATATATATATATATATATATATATTTACAACATTATATACTCATAATGTGTAAAAAGGGTCCATTGCAGTTCTGTTTGCTGCCACTAGTTGCGCAGGAATTGCAAACTTTTCCTATACGAACATTTTCGTTTGCAAAATGAGTCTGCATGTTTCTATGTCTAAAGTTTAGTGAACGTCCCTCCAGTCTCGACTCGGCATTGGTCGTAAAATGATGTTTCAGCGCTGGAATTTCTATTGCGTGTTTGTGAGGATGAATATTACACACAGACCGAAGTTCACTAGTGATTACCAAACCAACACATCCTTGTTAAAACCCCACGCTGAGTTGCATTAATGTCTCCACGGACCGTTGCCTGTTTCCGCTCGAACGAAACAAGGCGTGTGGAATTATACCAAAGTCATCCCCTTATCCGTGACAGACGTGAAATTACTCCCCGACAAATGCCAAACGCCCTGTGACTGGCCAAGACTTGCTTCTCCTCTCCACCCAAAATGTCTGAAAATTCATTGAAGTGTTTCGTTCTCTATTGAACAGCCTGTTTGGGAGTTACAAAGCTGGGCACATGTGAATTGAAATAAGACGCAGTGATTTAACCGGCTTTGTTCTTGTTGTGTAGATAAGCACATATAAATCCAGTAGTGCTTGATAAGAAAGACGTCTGGAAACCAAAAACACAACCTTGTGCCCTACAGCACAGCAAAGATACGTTGTTAGAGTGTATTTCGCGGCAAATGTTTTCTAGATGATAACTTCATATGTACTACATCTGCGATTGGTTGAGAACTTTAAGGAAGTTTCTGGTAGTAATACCATGGGAGTTTATATCACAGGGATTTTTTTTCTTCTTTATGGTTTCCAACAATTTCCAGTAGTCTTTTCTATTCCTGTATTGCCATCAAACATTTCCAGATGTTTATGATGAGCGTAGCTGTCAGTTGTATATTATAACCAGATGTTTTGACTCTAAATTCTGACAGGGTTATTTAGTTAACTAAAAAGAAACCCAAAAATAAATGTTTACTAAAATAAAATGCAAAAACAACCTTTCTTATTTTTATAACTACTACAACTAAAGGAAATATAAAAATAAAGTCAATATAACATTTTTTAAAATATATAAAATAATTAAAACTAATAATAAAAACTATTACAATATCTAATTGATGCTAAAATGGCGCTGAATATTGATAATGTTGCTTAGCAACAGTAAAAGACTATAATACTCTGTACAATAAATTATTATAGTTACTATTATTATTATTTAGTGCTGTCAAATGATTAATCGCGATTAATCGCATCCAAAATAAAAGTTTTGTTTACATGATTTATGTGTGTACTGTATATAATTATTATGTGTTTATATAACGACACACACACAGCGTATATTTTGAAAATATTTACATTTATTCGTGCATGTGTGTGTATTTATATATGCATAATAAATATACAGAGAACACACACATATATTATGTAAACACAAACTTTTATAATGGATGCGATTAATCGTTTGACAGCACTATGATTATTATTTAAATAAATAAATGTAACTGCAAATATAAATGGTCTTTTATTACATTGAAGTTGCCATCAAAATAATAAACCACCCAAGGCTGTGTGTTTTAGTGATTTTTACCACAGTTGAAGACTTAACGGTATAGGATTTAGACCCCTTACATGTAATAAATTCACTGTAATGCACAGACTCAGGTGCACCGTTAGGGGCAACAAAATAAAAATTCCAGAGGACCAATAACGCAGGCCAAATAAAAACCTGCTTGAGCGTGTTTGGTAGTGAGTTTGGCTCTGTATAAAGGTCTCTCTCTCTCTATCTTTGTATTTCATCATGTCTGTTTAAAGTGTTACAGGACTGAAACGATCACAGCAGCAAGTGTAATCGAATCGCATGCTTCTAGAATGTACATCGACTAGACTGCAGACTAAACTAGACTCGAGCTACTGATCCAGAGGTCGTTCCTCAATAAAACAGTGGGATTCATTCTCAAAAGTTCAAC